GTCCCAACACGTATTACCCCATCAATGCGTTTTCGAAGAAGCAGACTAGTACTGCTATGTCATCAACTGAAGCCGAAGTTGTTGCTGCCAATCACTCTGTGCGAGCGCAAGGTTTACCCACGCCTTCACTCATGAGTGTGCTGTGGGAATTGCTTGAAGCACCCAAGGAAAAGCAGCCAGCTGGTGGCAACGCCAAGCCGATTCCGTTTTCAGGCCGGGACAACTCCGGTCAGGGGGGCAATCCTGTATAGGTTTACGTCGACCCCGAGTTGGACGAGATTCGGTATGGTGGTTTCGAACAGCATGAAAGGACGATAGCGCCTCTTCGCGGATTAAATGTTCATTTGAATGAGAAGTTCAAAGTTGCCTTTTGTGAAGACAATCAAGCAACAATTCACATCATTCAGACTGGAAATTCCGCACAGCTTCGTCATGCTGACAGAACCCAAAGAACTTCTTTGGCGTGGCTTCGAGAACAATTTACGAAAGGTTTCTTCAATCTCGTCAACGTCAACACTGTGTATCAGGTTGCGGATATCTTGACCAAGCCGTTCACGAGCAAAGCAAAATGGGATCATGCTTGCAATCTTATTGGAGTACGGTGGGTGCAGTTGGATGGAAACATCACAATCAAGCCAGCCCCCACTAGCGAAGCGCAAGCTTCCGCCGTTTCCACGCACGAACCATATGATCGGCTCTTATGCGAATTTTGCTGTTCGGATGATTCTAAGCTCGGCGACAAATCAAGATTACCCGCATTCGGTTGCAAAGTGCTTAGAGTAACTGAACGTCAGAATGCATAGGTTGCAGATACGTTGCAGTGGGTATTTGACGAGGTGCAAATTTTCAGGAAGAATGTCAAGTCCAAAACACCGCCCTGCGTGATGATTCATGCTTCACTTCCGTGTACGGGTGGGTGCCCCTGGAATAATATCAATGGTCAGGCTTTAGAAGGTCAAGCCAAGATCCAGGAGCACAAGGCGTTGTTTCGCAAACTGCTGAAGCGTTTGGACAAACTTATCACTATGCTTCGACAGCTTGACATTGTGCTTGTGATCAACATGGAACTTCCTAAGCTTTGCAGTTACTGGAAGAACTATTTCGCGCATGATTTCCTCATGAAATATGAGATGGTCAAGTACAATTGCGATGGTTGCATGTTTGGTGTCCTTGACAAGGATGGAAATTTGTTGCAAAAGTCGTGGACTGTTGCTTCTTCCTGTCAATCGTTGGCCAAACTGCAACAGTACAAGCGCACCAAAGATCATCAGCATGGACAGTCCAGGGGGGCGGCCCTCAAACGTGCAGAATCTTACACGTATGAAATGACTGACCTGATCCATGAATGTTTTTCCGAGTTTGCTGACAGCATGAAACAGTTTGTCACCGATAGCTCGGCTCAGAGAACAACAAAACGTGCACTTGTTGCTCTAAAGCTTCCCTCACCGGTAGCCGCTATGGCTGCTTACAACCTCAGGGAGTATTCGGAGGATAACTTGGAGTACTGGCGAGGAGTGATGACGAGCTTTACATCGAACACTATGTTCCAAGAGACGAGGCCTGAGGACCGCAAGACTATGAAGCAGATCCTCAGTGCACAAGCTACTCTGCAAAGCTCTTGCGCTATGTGGGCGGCTGACTACGCGCCGGAACTCATGGACACGTTGTGTGCTGTCAATGACAAAGGCCTTGGCCGCATCACGCCCGGGGCAACCTGTGGCCGAGATGGCGTGTACCTCGTCGTGAGCGAGCAGGACATGAACTACAACCGCAGCTCTGGTTGTAGCCAATGCGAGGTGAGAATGTGTTGGGGAAAGGACCTCACGTTTCTCGCATGGACCGTTAAGAGCGCGATGAAGGAGCTCAAGAAGCGGTCTGAGTTCAAGGACCATGACTTCTACGTGGCGGTGTACTAATTAAAAAACGAGCTCGTTGGCAGCGGTGGGATCTGCGACGAGCCGGAGTGGCCATTCCGATGCGGAGACGGACACTGGCCCGAGCTGTTCAACAAGTGCGCCAAGGCGATCGACGTGCTCGAGGAGCGCAGGAGTTGGTGGAGTATTGCAAACATTACGATCCTGGCCAACACCGAAGGTTCGTACTACATGCTCCCGCCCATCTACAACCAGTTCATGGAAAAGTTGTTAGATGAATCACTCGGCATGCACAAGCTCCTTCGCAACCTTTTTGGTGTCACGACAGGGCAGGCTCGACAATTACCACATGATGGACTCCATCGAGAATAGGAAGACGACGGTGGAGTGGTTGTGGTCGCTTTTCAATGTGATGAAATGCGTTGCAGTTGCGGAGGCTCACAAGGACGACTTCAACAACGTGAAGCTGTATCTTGAGTACTCCCATGACGCTGTTGCAGGATTGAACCCATGCACTTTGGCTGAGCACGAGGCGAACGTGAAGCTTGCGCTCCAGTCATGGGAGAGTCTCCAGCGCCCCATCAAGCTGGCAAAGGGGCGTGTGCTTGAGAAGGTTGAGGAGGTTGAGATCAAAGAAGAAGTTGATTTCGATGACGATGATGCACTCCCGCAAGGGAGTGCCGCTGAGGCTGCGCTTGGCGTCAAGGCCGCTCCGGCAACACCCAAGTTCACCGTGAAAGCATTGCCTAAGGTACTGGCGAAAGCAAAACCAGTAGCAATGGCATCGGATGTGCGGGGGGTGACCCCTGCCGGCAGCGCATTGCCAGGCAAGCCTCATCACCTTCCGCGGCCAGCAGTACGAGGCAAGGATCCTCCCGCGCACGATTCTGAAAGTGCCGACCTTCCTGAAGGGAGAGCCTTCCTTGACGGACAGATGCACTACGTTAACTGGAATGCTGCGTGGCCGATTTCAGGATCAACGGCCATTGGACTTCGATGAGGATTACTTCGTCGATGTGCACCAGTTGTGCGACAAGTTCAACAGGAAGACCCGGAGCAACATCGGGTACAAGACGCTGTTGAAGATCTTCGCTTGTGACCCGAAATGTAGATTCACTGTCCTCGCGTCAAGCATCCATCGGCCTCTGAAAACAACCAGGAGTGGGTTGTCATCAAGGTTCGTGCTAGCCAAGGACACGCCAGCAGCGTCGATGCTGATGGCGACATCAGCCGAAACCAGTATGCCCTTGCGAAGGCCGTCTTCGGGAAATTCCTCCCGGAGGACGCTCGCAAGGCTGGACTGCAGCTTTTGCCAATGACTGATGCTCCTGGCAAGCTGTATCATCGAACCAGCAAGGCCGCAGCTGACAACATCGTGAGGACTGGAGTGATTCCCGGCGGAGTTGGAGCAACCGAGAGCGGGCGTGCACAGAGCCACTTCTCTATCCACCCCGTCGAAAGCTCCGCCTACAATGCAGGGGTTCGCGCCTCCATGCCGATCGAGCTCGTCGTTGATTTCAATTACGCCATTGAGCTCGGGGTTGTGTTTTTCCTTTCTGAATCTGACGTCATGTTGACCGCCGACATTGTCCCCAATGATGCCATCTTGTATTACTCGGATGCGCAGACCGGCGAGGTGCTCTGGAGAAATGCCCTTCGCCTGGAAGCCTTGGAAAGTCAGACAACTGTCGACACGCTCGCCGCAAGGCGAGCCGTCATCGTGACTGCAGATGAGGCCTTCCAGACCGACAAGGAGGGAAACAGGGCCAAGAACCCCGAAGAGGAGCAGACGAATGAGGACACTGCCGCATCTCGCCCGGGGCAACCCGAGGCCGATTCCTCAGTCGTCAGATTCAAGACCTTTGCCATGCCCGTCAACTACACGGACTGCAGCATTTGCGGCGAGGGCATGACGCAGGGGCAGCTGAAGTGCCAGTGTTGCGGACAAAGCGCCAAAGAGAGCAATGATGTTCAACTTTTCAGAGCTGCAAGGCGGAGAATGCAAATGCTCGAGGAGGTGTGTCACCGCGTTGGCAAATCTGTGGATCATCTTTCGAGGCAAAGCAAATCGAAGCCTCGAAAAACTACGATAGCAGAGCCCGGAAGTTGGGGTACGACAACGTTGTGGACAGGTTTGACAAGGACGCGACCTTTGCTCTCCGGATGGTTGAGCAGGGCCACAATCGCGAGAGCCTCTACCAGATGTCCATCTTTCGTTTCTGCGTTCTTCCGGAGTTCCCCCGAAGCTATGATCAGAGGCTTTTGGGGGTTGGGCCTGGTTATGGAAAGCGAGGACACCACTGCGTCAGAACCGCCTACGTCACCGGTGGCCAGGTTGGGGATTACGATACCAACTTGCACTCGTTTCCATGGCTCTTCTCGTACAACGGGAAGATGTTGAGCCTTGCCCAATTCGTCGCCCAGGTTAACATCCTCCCCGGGATGCGCAACCTCGTCACGTTCGGCAACCGGAGCCGAGGGCCTTGAAGCTGAGATCAAAGAGATCTGTGACAGAGCGGAGGGCAATGCAAAAAGGCTTGCTCAGCGCAGCCAAAAGCAAAGCGCTGAGGACCGTGCCCGTGGACACACTCAGCCTGCATCCAGCTCCACTGCCGCGGACAGGAGCCGCAGTTGGAGGGACTGGAGTGGTCGCGACTGGAGCGACCGCGCCTGGAGCAGCTGGGAATGGACATCCTGGAGTTCGCGTGGCTGGTCTACAAGCGGGAGATGGTGAATGCAATCAACACCATAAAGGAGCGCCTCTGAGAGCGACAGTAGCCGTTTGTTTGCACGATGGATGTGTAACGTCCATTTTCAACGTGCAATGGATGTGTGTGTGTGTGTCGAATAAAAGCGGGCTGCAAAACCTGCCGACATTTTCGTTGCTGTTCAATCTCAAATAATCTCAAATGAGGGGGGTGTGGATTCAGGTTCCAACCCTGTGCATGTATATGCTCCGCCCGCTATAGACTTCAAGATCACTGACAGCAGTGCGAAAAGGTAGTCAACGGTTTGCTGCTTGCCTAGGTATTCCCTTTTCTGCCGCGGTGAAACCAGATACCACGGTCCATAGTTGGTCCACTTGCAATATTTATGTTCCACCCACTGGCAACGGACTCGGCCCAGGTGGATGTGCCCGTCCGAGCCAAGGCGGGACGAAAGTCTTTCAACAATGGGCTTTCCTTGCTTGCCTAGCCGAAGGGGTCGAATCACACCCAACGCGGCCTTGCGCCCACTGGCCAACAAACTAAACAAAAGCCATGGCCGGGCCAATATCCAAAATTGAATCCAGGCTGATGTCCTTTGGCACGACTGCCCTTTGGAACACAGAGCAAAGCGGAGGCCAACTGGGCTCCTCAGGTGTGGGCCTCGGTGAGGGAAGCATTTGAGTTGGATCGCTTGGTTTCCTTGCAAAAGCGATTGATTGGTTTCCACTGTTTGGTTTCTCCAGTTGTTATAGAAGGTGCGATGGCCGTTCCGCGGCTTGAGCGGCTCGGAGACCAGCGGCCCAACTGGCTTTGGCGTCGCCAAAGGCGGCGTTTTCCGTTTCCGAGGCCTTGGGTCCGTCCAAGGGGAAGGAGCCAGAAGGCGCCGAAGGGACGGGTCTTCCTCCCGTCTTTCAGGAAAAATCAACCGCTTCCGAAAGGGTTGCCGAAACCGTCAGACATTCTTACAGTGGCTAAAGCAAAGCGCTGGACTTCCTTTTGAAAGTGGGAAACGGACAACCCTGATGAAATCTAGTGTAATGCAATGCTTATCCATGCTATGCGGAGGCTGCTGTGTTATTTTACGCGAACTTCTGTTATCTTACTATGTTACGATATGCCACGTTGTATTATTTTGTGCTTTGGATGGATGGATGGATGGATGGATGGAGGGAGGGAGAGGGAGGGAGGGAGGGCGAAAGGGAGGGAGGGAGGGAGGGCGGGAGGGAGGGAGGGATGGATGGAGGGAGGGAGGGAGGAGGTGGATGGATGTATGGATGGATGTATGGATGGTTGGATGGATGGATGGATGGACGGACGGGCGGATGGAGACGGACAGACGGATGGATAGATGCGGGCTATACACATATAGATTCTATTTTTAGCTCTTTGCGTAACCTGCGGGATGTATGGCCCTCTCCTGTTTCGTGCCGCGCGCGCGAGGCGACAGAGGGAAGGGAAAGGGAAAGGAGAAGGGCCGCAAAGGAAAGCAGAAGGACGCTGCGCGAGGCTTTATCTGAGTCAAGTCTAGGGGCCCCATCCAAGTTGATTTCATGCTGGTTTCGGCTGAATCCGCCCGCAAAAAGGTGCCTCCAAGGGGATCCTATGTTTGACACGCATCCGTCTTTCTCAGGACGGCAGAGATTTCAAGGGCAAAGGCCGGGAGCGGCTTCCATTCTTTGCACAGCCATGATGTATGATGTAGCGTGGATTTCGGGAGGCAAGACAAAGGATGAAGACAGCGAACCTCGCCAGGACGTCCATCGCAAGGGTTGTTTGCATGTGCGCTGAGCTGCGATTTGACGCGGTGCTTTGTGTTCTCTCAGGAGAGCCGTGGAGAGAGCAAGAGCAAGGGCAAGGGCAAACGCAAGGAGTGCAGCACTCGGTTGGCAGAGGCCCCTGGAAGGTTGCTAGTTGCCACCTTGGCTTGTTTGGTTGATGGCCCATGTTGGCACCCAAGAACCGCCTAGTTGTCAATGAAGGGCTTGAAAAGCATCTGCAGAAGCCCGGAAAACGATAGCTTTGATATCAGCCCGCAGCCAACATCTAGCTGGGCGTATCTCTAACAGTGTTGGTTTGATTCCGAACCACAGGCAAGCCCACAAATGATAGCTCAAGAAAAGACAAGCCCAGCTACATGGTGATTCGCTTCGAATTGCGATGCTGGCAGGAGGGCAAAGGGAGGCCGGGTGCAGCTGTGACCAAAAGTGTTGGTCGCGCATGCCATGTTCACTGGATAGCAAAGCGCAGGGAAGTCGTGATGCACAGAAAAAGAAGAAGACAAAACACTGGGTGTGTCGATTTTTTGAGGTTTAAAGGGAAACCAACAAGCCACCTATTTTGGAAGATCCCCCCCTATATCGAGAAACACCC